GCAAAAAAGAAAACAAAAACTCTCGTTAACAAACGACATGTTGCATATTGTCAAAAAGAAAGCATAGTGATACCCGTTTAGAAAAAATATGTATCAAAGACAAACACGGCACACTGATTAGTCTTAATCCACTCGATTGATCAATTCAATTAACAAAAGTATGTATTCTAAAAGCTCAAGTAGAACGGCAAGATAGTTCGTCATCAGTAGATGAAGTTAAATATGTCTGAAAGCAAACCTACCGTAGAAAAGTACTAGACAATAGATAATACTATGCGCATTTTTTATAGTTAAAGCGTGTAGATGAAGAGATTTTTTTCACTCACATTCACACTAACATACAAAACAAAGTGTTACTTGCTTCAATCTTACGAAAACTGAACACATCATGAGTTACAGCACAGAACGAGCGTTATGTCTTTTCTGCGTAGTAACAAAGTTTCAATACCGATAGATTCGTCGTTGAAAACATTTCAGTGATTCTTTGAATTGTCTTCTGTAAAAATCTGATGGCGTAACAAATACGACAAGGACGACTACTGATGGAATAAACGATACAAAATAGCCTAAGAGATAAAACCATGGATAACGAGACTTTTTTACACAATCAGATAATAATGAATTGACTAGACGAGGCAAAGATAAAATAATCAAAATCATCGGACTGATAACAAGATGTTTATGTTCATCGAATTGCTCACGAAGATGTTCGATGTAGCTCTTGTGAGTTCGAAGCACTTGTCGTTGGCGAGTATTTGCAAAGACAATGAACACGGCAGAGAAGAGATTTGCAAAACACGGAGCGAGGAAATGAAAAAATAGACTGATTGTATTATAATTCCGAATAGAAGGAGAATAATAAGCAACACACCATGCACGCTGCTCTTCATTGTCATCGAACAAGTCGCGATACAAAAACTCGTGAATAATAGTAGCCACAATAAAAAATGGCAAGAAAATAATTATCCAACGAGCAACAGATTTGCTCATTGTCTTATTGAAATTTACTCCTTTGAATATGGTGATTGATCGTTCGATAGCCACACATGCACAAAGCCAGTTATCCATGTATAAAAAAATCTTCAAAACAGGCTCGAAGAACATACATCCTCCGCGAAGGATTAAGCGACTAATGAAGGGATTAATTTGAATGAGAACAAGAAACCAGAACTTGACTGTGATTAAGCTTACTGTGAAAAGAGAACTGATCGATGATGCTAGAAGATATGTACCGCAACCGACTTGTCGTGAGCTTTTTCTACGAAATACTAAAAGCAAGAGAATACTATCGATTAAACCAATGAAGAATAAGATGATTGTGAGTGCTGCACTGAATTTTACTGACAACGGTTGATGGCTAAATGCTAAGTTTGGTCTTAATTCGTAGCGCAAGATATCATCGAGTGTTAAACCGATGCCTTTAGCATAAAATTGACATCGATCACCGAAGAAACAATCATTACAATTACATGTCGTGTACGACGGACACACAGGATCATCCTGAATACATTCACCACCATTTTCACAGTGAATATCATGCTGACATGTAAGATTCAAATTATGATTAAATTTTATACAATTGGCATGACGTTCAAGAGTGCATAAGCACATGAATGATTCATCAAAAAAACACTTGAGATTAGAATTAGTCTGGCATGGCATGTGGTAATATTTAATTCGTTGAATTTTTGGCAGTGCTTGTAATATAGGGCTAAAGAGTTCGTTGATTGGTGCACATCGTTGAGCAGAACTAATCGATGTTGAGATATTTGACTGTTCCAATTGTTGAAGAATAGCTAAATAGTAATTGCTTTCGATTTTGATAAAAGCAATCTGAAATGGATGTGGAGAGTATAGCGTTACGGTATGCTGAAACATAGTCAATTTCTTTGGTATCACTGTTTCTGATGATGGCAAGAAGCGATCGTAAAAATTGAAGATATGGGCCACTAGATATGATGGTATCTCAATATTCCCATGTAACCATGAAACGCTTTTTTGAAGCGTTAAAACGCGTCTCAAAATTGAAACTGCCTCCAAACGCACTGAAATGCGTCCACCATATGAATGTGGGAGCGCGTTTCAAACTTTGCATGCGTTTACACGCGTTTCTCGATTAAAATGCATCAAAACTAGTTTTAAATGTTTTTTACACGCGTTTCAACGTGATTAATTTTACTCTTGCGTTTGAATGCACTTAGTTTGTATGCAACAGATGCTTTTAAGTTCAAGTAACGCGTTTAAACGCGGCTTTTTTGTTTTGTATAAATAAGACGCGTGTGAACGCGTTTCTAGCTATAAATATACAGCGTACCATCAACAATGAAAACTCCTTCATCATAATATAGTAGAGCAGGTATGAAAAAGTAGACAACACTAATTAGTTTTCATTCACAGAAAGGTATAAAAACTATATATCAAATCATTATGACGACGTATTAAAGACTTATTGTTTTTGTGATTCTTAATACAGTTATTCTTGATAATTTGCAAGTTAGAATATCAGTGACTAGCAATTCCATCAAAAATAGATAATAAGAATGAACAAGTGAAAATCAGAAATTTCATCATAATTGTATCCGTCACACAACCTCATGAAGACCAAGTAAGCTGTGAAATAGAAATAAGTGAGAATGTGTATCAGGTTTGATACTTACAGATCATTCATTGGAAATCAGTATTGAAACAACTTTATGTCCTGATCTGTCACCACCAGTATTTCTCACAAAATTAACTTGGCTCTGGTATAACATACGTTAAGCGTAGCATTTTAAATTTAAAGAAAAAACATAATCCATTGGGGATGGGATTGCTTTTGAGAAGATGAAACTCTGCGAAACTGCTAGGTAAGATTCTCATGGAATGTGTAAATCATTCTTCCGGAAAGAGAAAAGAAATACTTTCAGGAATAAGAGTAACCAAAGCCCATAACCAGTGTTCTGAAAAATACCAAAAAATATCATTAAAGATATTCGTAAGTGAGTTCAAAGGTGATTTAAAACTAAAGCAAAAATATTTGATTCGCATCTTCGAGGACTTAAAAGTTAAGAAGAAATGTTTACTTTAATTGAAAGATGAAGTTCAATGTTAGTTTTCACGTAAACTTATTATGAATGCGACTAGATGACAAATTTTAGAAACGAAAGACTATACATGTAGGTCAAACTCGATGATACAGTTGTTTTCAAACACAAATTGAAACAGAACTATGCCTAAATGCGACTAAAAGCAATTTTAAATAGCATCTGAATACAGTCAGAATACAAAATGCACATCCGTACGCTATTGCTACTGTACGTTTTAATGTAATCATGTGCAATAAATATTTTATCTGGGTTGCTTATGAACGCACTTATCACATATATGATATTTATGCGTTAATGTCTAATATTTTTTTGTTTCTTAATATTAAAAGTTTTGGACTAAAAAACCAAACGTGTTAGACGAAAGAAAATGCGTATAATCGTTTAGAAAAAAAACCTCAACTCTTTAAATGCATTTACTCCAATTCCTATTGATTTTCTAGCAAGATTCTATAAAATTCATTTGCACCTTAGTATCATTAATATTTCATTCACAGTAAAAAGAGAAACTCAATCACTTAGTTTGAACTTGAAATTTAAGTTTAGATATTTTCGTACTTTAAATAGAAAAAAAATGATACAAGTGATATGAATGTCTCTTTTATATTCACTTTTTACGAATACATTATTTTGCTTAAAGTATTGAATTGCTGACAACATTATATATGCTTTAGTCGGGCTCATTTCCAAAAAAAAGATTTAATAATCCGCAAATGAGCTACTGTGATCGTAAAGCTATTCTTGTTTGATTTCATCACCTTATTCCTGTATGCAAAAATAATTTTTGTGAATTTTATTTCCATTTTCAAGTATTTGGTTTTATCTAAACTTCGGCAAAGTAATTTTTTCAAAAGTAATGTTAGTTTGCCTTTTTTTTCTTCATTAATATGAAACTGACGTTTTATGAGATTAAGATAAATAAAAAAAGAAAATCTTCATCATCTTTAAAAGTAAAGGTAAATGATATCTTATATTGTAAGAAAATATAAATGAGTACTCCATTTATGAATAAAATAAGTAAAGTCAAAGAATAACTTGTTCTATGAAGATCTAATCTTGTTGCTGTTCAAAACTTCTACAAAAATTTTAATGCCATAGTTACAAATATGTAGATACAGATAAGATTTTCCATATATTTTCATACAGCGTTCTCAACTTTAAATAACGATATATATTCTATTATTAACGAAATAAAAATTGTTTATTTTGTTATGAAACAAATTTTTTTACTTATGAAAAAGAAGTGTTAAATTATTCTTTAATTTTTTTTCGTCTTTTAGATAGTGAAATTTTTTATTCCTTTTTATATTTTGTTTATAAATACGAGAAATTCTTGTGGTTTTATTATATTAAAAAATCTTATTGATATTCATATAGAAAGTTATAATAATGAATATTATTTTTTTTCTTAGAATTTTCTTATAAGTGCTTCAAAAATTGTTAGTCATTTGTTTTATGAACATTTAACTAACTTCGAGCTGTAAGTAGCTCAGAGTTACTTGTGTTCGGCTTGTAATCGATGGTCGTGTGTTCAAATCTAGGCTTGAACTATCGTCGGAAAAATTCCACTCTGTTGTTCACGGTATGAAATTGTTATATCATAGCTTGCTATGACGCGTCGGTTCGAATCTGACACAGAGTGATGATTACTTTTTCAAATTTTTTGAGAAAAAAAGGAAACGCATGCTGACGCGCTCAGCTCTCTGAACGCGTTCTTACGCTTGAAAATGTTGCATTTTGGACGCCAACAAACGCATCCTTATACATAAACGCGTTATGATGCTCTTATATGTCAAACGAGTTTGGATGCGTTTCTTGAGTCCCAACTCGTTTGAACCCCCCGAAATGTTGCATTTTGGACGCGTACAAACGCGTTAAGTTCTATTGCATTCAACGCTCAGAAACGCGTCCCAAAACCTAAAAATGGTTACATGGGTTGTGAAAGGAAATCAATATTATACTCTTTGAATCATTACATGTCTCTCCAGTAAATTGTTCAGAACAAATGCATGTATAACTGTCGTCAGCCATCCTCGTATCAACTACTATACATTGGCCACCATTTTTGCAAAAGTTTGCTGGACATGAATATGTAAGCAGACAACGTAAACCAAACTTATTGAGAGGACAAACACATATTGATCGATTACGAAATGAACCGATGCATACAGAATCAGATGAACAGTCACTACAATCAATAGGAATGTTACATCGAGCACCAGACCATCCTATGTGGCATCGACAAAAGTACTTGTCATTATTGATATATTTCATGCACTCGCCATTGTGACATGAGAAAGGACAATGGTGATGACTATAAGTTTGATGAATCGGTATCGCAAATTTAGCGACTAATCGATTGACGGGTAGAAAAAGAAAAGGAATTTTCAAATGCCAACTCGCCAAATAAGTTAAAGAAGTTTTGGAAAATGCATCCACATGAATACTATAGTTCTTTGAATTATTCTTCGGTCTCATTGAATACAACAAATAGAAGTAAAAAAATGCTTGACAACTGCGACCGGGAATGTAAGTTACTTGATCATATGAATTGAGTTCTTGTTGATCACCATCATCACTGATTAAGAAGATAACAATTGTATAAATGCTATGTTGGTCGAATGATGTTAGCCTCAAGGTGAGACTAACTCGTTGATTTTGATATTGACATCTATCGCCGTAATAATATGGTGGACAAAAGCATCTATAAGTATCATTATGTTCATTGACCCGAAAACGAGCGTAGAGGCCATGATTGCAATACCATGCCCATGACGGGTCATCGAACTTAGTTTTAATGTCCTGTATAATATGACGTTGCTCTATTGGCCATTCTGTAATATTATTGATCATTCTGTTTTCAGTTGAAGGATACAGAGGTAAAGTTTCGAACGAAAATATAACTTGTTCTTTTAGATCACCAATATCACAAAGAGCGTTCTCGAGATTGGTACGATTATGAACTATACTTGGGTGACATATGTGACGACGATCTCCACAAAATGCTTCGTCATCATTATGTCGGCAATGCCTACGAGAGTCACATAAATAAGAAGATCCCACACATGTAGTATCATTAAAACAACGGAATCCGTGATAGATGCCGAAAGCATGGCTCTGTGTTCGACAATATTGAAGTTCATCTGCTGCTCCAAGACAATCGATAATTCCATCACTAACTTGATCTGCCGATAAGCATGTTAATGTATAATTGAACGGAGACACACACGAAAGACTATGTGAAGGGCAAATTGATCGAGTACAATTCTCTTCATCGGTTCCATCAGGACAATTCCAAAATTTGTCACATCGCGTATAGATATTGTTGCATTGCCAATGTTCGCAATCAGTCTCGTCCGTATGATTTCGTCCATCAATTATTATGGGTAACAGTTGTTCATTTCGGTCACATATTTCTTGGAAAGCGAGATCATCTAGATTATGTTTGTTTTCGAAAGGACATATATCCCTCGAGATCAATGGTGAACGACACATTATTTCATTGGAACATTTGAAACGAGATGCATTATTAATCAAACAGCTGAGTTCGAATTCTTGTTCGTCATCATTCAAATGACAATCTGAAATACCGTCAATAATTCGATGTTTCGAAATAGATTTCGATGAGTTCTTGCAATGGTAGAGCGATAAATGTTGAGAATCGTTTTCGGCATTGTTTCTAGTCAAACAACCCCGAAAATATGGTTTGATCGAATCAACCATAGATTTCCAATTATGATATGTTATATTCGGGTCAAGACCCATTTCATAATTGTGTCGACAAGTGTCGTTTCCATTTCGAAATGTTGGCTTGAGAAACTTACACAATTGGTTATCATAACAAACATAATCGGGTATAAGGGCTAATTTAAAGTTTTTATTAAGAATATTTTTCGGATGGTATAGAAATCGTACATGACCTTGAAGAATAGATATTATTGGAAATTGAGTAAAAGATTCACAACTGTATAGATGAGCACTACTGTAAGATGATTCGAAGTATTGTTTACAAGACATTCCAACGACATGATCAATAATTTTAGTAAGACAAACCATGGCCATCCAACAAGTTTGCGATAAATTACCTTGAGCACTCATTGATTCAGCTAACAAAATATGCCGTCCATTGCGACATGCTTGGAAATCTTCCACACATTGTCCATCTCCACATGAAAATTGTCCTTCATTTGGCCGACATAAATGTTCTTGACATTCAAGTCGAGATATCCAATATACGTTATTACAATTATGTTCGTAATATATGTCTGAATTATCGAGACAGTCCCCAAAAATATCTCCATTTTCCCAAAATTCTTTTGGAATGCACTCTCCATTGTGACATCGATATTTATCTTCATTACATTCATTTACTTCCAATTCAAAACATTCCGCCTCATCGGCACCTCCATCTAGACAATCAATTCGACCATTACACACCTCGCGCCAATCGAGACATAACGGCGAGCCACCACGATCACATTTGATGTGCATGTAACATGTCAAGTTCGTGGCAGTGTAAGATGTGTTTATATATATCGATTTAGCTTCAAATGTCATTTGAATAACATTGAAGAAAGATTCCTTTTCATCTAATTCGAAGGAATATTGACATTGAGATCCGAACCATGGCTTAGTGCAATTGAAAAAGATTTCATTCGATAAAAATGATGTGTTAAAGTGATCAATATAGTGTTGATATCGTTCAGCGAGGTCAATTGAAGCTGACCACGAAAGAAGATGTTGTACAGTAAAATTTAAATGATGCAACTCATTGAATGTGAACTTTCGATCATGTATGTTGAGAAAACTATTGGGTGATGCATTCGTCTTATGCATTGGACGAATACAATAAGAAATCGTTTCCGTAACGGACCATGAAGTATCATGGTAATACAAGCAGTCGAAATCCAAAAGAACGATGTTATCGGTTGCTTCAGTATGATACAAATTGAATTGAGATTTAGCTAATATCCACATCAACGACATGGATAACATCAGAGACAACATCATTGTAGTGAAATCATTTTCAATTGAGCATTATTTTCTCAATTGTTCACGGTACACCAATGACAAGTAGTCAAAGTGACAATATCACAGACAAAGAACAAGTGAGTTTAGAAAATCAATTGAACACATACTTAATTAACAAATGTAATTTGCACTATGGTACATACGGTTTTATTTAACATTGATAACTATTGACAAGTGATTGATCTTGGTAGCTGTTAGCGTGTGATACTGGAATTTTCTCGCTATTATGATTAAATCACACACTTCAAATAACAAATGTTATATTATTTTTTCGAGGTAGCTTAAGCTCTATTAAAATGAGAATATTGACAATTTTTGTCGGCGCTATTTGTGATAAGCTCTATATGAAAAAGATCTGTCCAACAATGTGATTTTAAATCGCTGATTCAAACAAATGAAGACATATTAAATTCTTAATTATAGTCATTGTATTAGAATATCGTACAAACAATAACCTATGAACCCATAACGATCTACTCATATCTATTGCATTTTTTAAACTTTTCTTCCTCGATTTTTCATAAAAATGCTGGATAATTCATTATCATTTTCATATGTTTTTTTTTTGTTTCACTATCACTTATTTTACTGAAATCCTTATATTCATTTTACTACCGTTGGAATAAATTATCAAATGTTTTTATTTCGTCTGGAGCTTTCTTAACTCCTACTTGATTTTTCTGCATTTCTATCGGAAAGTACCATGTCTTCATCACTAATTGATTGATTACTCTATATTCACAGTAGCTCAAATAAAAAGATCCTAATTGTTCTCGACATACAGGCTTAGATTTTCGAAAAAGAATTCATATGGGATACATAACGAATCTCCTACTAAAGGCAATATATCATATTTGTCAATTATTGTGTTTCATTTGATATGAAACTTTCTGTTTGACAAAATGGAATTATGTTATCTTTTGTGAGTAAGTAAGCATGGTTTAAAATAGGATTTTTTTATCTAGAAAAGTCAGATGAACTATGATAGGTTTTGCTTTCCTGACTTTAACTCAAAACATGATTGATATCTAACAGTCGTTCAGATTTCTACAAATCACTCATCGGTAACATGAACATCGAAAAGATAATTGAAGATACACCACAAACGAAGCACAATAAATCTTATTCTTAATTCTTGACACACCTTTGATTGGTTCCAACTAGGACTAACGTGGAGTTACGTACATGTTCACATTGAAACGATGATATTTTTTTTTCATCTTGATTCTTTCTATTTTGAGTGAGCCTTCTTTCAATAACATATATTGAATTCATCTATTTTTCTTAGTTGATATTAGACTATAGGAGTCAAAGCAAAAACTCAAAAGAGATCGAAAAGTGTATTCACAGAATCTTTAGAAAAAATTTATAAAAGCTTGAAAAGTTGTGAAGTCTATTTTAAGAGAATAGATATCGTTCCTTTGTTGATTCTATGGGAAAGCATTTAATAAATGCAATTTTCAATTTCAATTGATTATCAAAAACATGTGATCAACTGTTTTCGGATTTGATCTCCCAGAAATTTCAGCCCTTGTATATCATATATGGGTGTAGGGGTTGATAAAAACATTGACCACACTCACATTCCTGTCGTCGTGTTCAAATGATTGTTTCAACCAAGATGTATAATGAAAATAACTTAAATTCAGATCTCGTTGCTTTTGTTCGGTTACATTGCATTTCAGAACGAAATTCAATCACCGACCTCTAGTTTGTCTGACGATTGGTGATGGTGAAATTAATATCGCATATTTCGTAGCTATGGCTTTTTAGAGTCTGGAAAATCTTCGTATAATCTATGTAGCCAGATCAAACAAAATGTTTCATACAAACAAATTAACCATATTGAAATCCTTCATTTTTTTCAAGTACCAGTCATTTAACAAGTATTCAAGGTGGCTAAAACGATTTGCACAAAACAATCAATCTATGATCATAAGTAGTGAAAATGGTCTTGTTTGTTTTATGAGGATGTGGGTGTGACTGTTCCTTTTCATATCACACCAGACAAGCGGTAAATGTGCTCTTCGCTGAAAGCCAGATCACAGAAATTCGACGAACTTGGTTTCGACGAAGTATCATTTCGGTTATGCAACAGCTGGCAATCTGTCGATTCGATGATGTCACTATCGGCGATGTTTTATTTCGATGATTTCTATTATAACTGCTGAATCTGTCCACGATTATCTCAGACAATATTAGCGGTGTCAAAACCTTTTGGAACTGTAGTTATTCATGTTTATCGTATTTAGTAATTACAGTAATGGATCAAATCACTGGCTAAGTTGAAATGATTATTCAGTTAAATTAGTGACTGTCGATTGAAACAGTCACTAAGTCAAGTTAGTGACAAACTTGGCTTAGGAATCGAGCTCGTAATTAAATCAGTTGTTGCTTACCGGAGCTTTTACGAAAAGAGAAGATCGTAATTTCTGATGTGAACATTAAAGTTGTATATTAGTTGCTATACACGTCAAGAAACGTATCTGACAGACTTTCTGAAAAGGAGAACAGAATACATCATCGTTGAATCGTACATTAGCAAAATGAAGTACAAGAATAAAGATGACTAAAAATATTCGGCGATCTTCGTTTCAATGAACTTCACATCGACTATCCGTATTTCGATGATGTTGATTTCGGCGATCTTCCTATTCGGCTATGTCTGTTTCGGCGCGGATTTCGGAGATCTGAGCTTTCGACGATGAGGCATACAACCGATTCATTAATGAATTATTTTACAAATCATGATATATATATATTTAATTAGTTTTTTTTAATATATCCTTAATAATACAAATAATCAACGAAGCTTGGTTCTACACATCATGTTTCTCTTAAATGGACTCGACGAATGATGAGTCATGTGAAATCTGTCGAAGTCAAATCTAGATAAATGATTTTCTATACGGAAATGATAGAATTTTAATTCCTATACTCATTCAAATTATACGAAGGTTTACGTAATCTCGATTGATTGCAAATTTTTGTCTTTTGGTTATTTGAATAAAAGAATCTTCATCGTTTACCATATGCAAAATCGTAGGTTTTCAAGTAATTGATAAGCAAAACTTTTCAAAATTCATAATGAATACATAATTGTACCCCAAAGAAATTTTATTTCGTATCGATCGTTGTCATAGTACATGCATTACCATGAAAATAAATATTATCACTCTCATTAATCCCAAAATATGATTAAAATTAATTTTAATTCAATATATTTCACATGTTTCAGGATCATTTCGTCAACTAATTAAATCGAATGAGATATTTCAACGATGAATGAAAAAAATTTCTTTTACATTTTGCCGAGAAACTTTGTATTGATAATTCATAATTTAGTTCATAAAGAACTATGCAAATCAAAGAGAACATTGATAATCACTATGACCGTACTGAAATAAAGCATAGAAATATGGCTAATACGAAAATTTTTTCTTTATCTGTTAATAATTAAAAATTTTTCTAAAAAAATAAATCAATAATCATTATGTACTTTACTGGTATAGAATAGACTTTTCGATCAAATGTTTTCTTATTGTAGTATAGTCTCTGAAGGTAGAAATAGGACGATATCATTTTCAGAGTGTTATTTTGTTATTCGACCTTGATTATTATCAATTTAATTAATTTTGACAAATTGTATAATAATTACTCATTTATATGCTTATTTGCTAAAATCTATTTAGAATATACAAACTACTAATCTATCTTATTTAATATATTGAGTATGTTACCTTAATCTCTGAATATCTATAGAGTACTAACGCGTCGAACTTGCAAATTTTCATGTTAGAATTGGACCTATATATACAGACACAATTAGATAATCATCATTTCAGTTTTCATGCGTTTTATTTTAATATTTTCAGTGAACAAACTAATTCTTTCAATTTGTGAGTTTCTTATTTATTCTAGAAATTAATCAGATGACATAACAAATTAATCATTCGTATGATCAATGTTATTACTTTGTCATACAACGATTTATTACGTGTGATTAGATAGTTCTTATATTTAATTCTTATGCTATAGGTGTTATTCAATGATCATATATGTAAAATGAGAAATTTCTATTCTGACTAAAATAATGTCAATTAGAATGAATAAATTTTTAAAATAGATAATCTTGAGATTGAATATAAACAAAACAAAGATAATATGTTAAAGTATACAAAAGTATTAATGTTTGATTAATACTTCATTCGCTTATTAACTGTCGGCTGAATCAGTACGAAATTTTTACACAAATGCTCGAAAAATGGCATTCTAAATGAGTCATTTCGACTACTCTACAGAGAAGAAAGACGAAGAATAATAAAAAAAACATACGAATCGATACATCATCCATATTTTTCGGCAGTTGTATCATACACAGTTTCTCTTTTTTTTATTCGTGAAAGCAGTTGGGAACTTTAGGAGAGAGAGAGAGAGAGAGATCTTAATAAATCCATATTATTTCTTTATGAATAACGATTTCTTTCTCCTACTTCATATAATAGCAACGTATCACAGCAAGTAAGAATAATGAAGAAGATGTTAAACTTCATTTTGTTGTTCTTTTTTTTTCTACAGAAAAATGATTAATTGTTTTGAAAATTTATCCAATGAACTTTTTTATGAAATATTCGATTATCTTGATGGTAGTCAAATATGTAAAGCATTTTCAAATCATAATAAATGTTTTCAAGCTATAATCAGTTCTTCATCTCTTCGATTAAAAATTGATCTAAGTTTTTATTCGGAATCTACTGTGGAATATTCTAATACTTATGTTGTCATACCAACCAAAGATCGAATCATTTCATTTCATTAGTCTTCTACATATATTACTATACTATAAGATTTACACTGTTTCATATCGATTCATCATTTAGTTAGCTTGAATCACTTACATTACATTGTGTCAAGTTAAATGAACTCATATCTCTTATGATAAATTTGATCTTTTTACCTCGTCTAACCTCATTGAAAATCATGTGTAATAATGTCGAAGAGATTAGTAACATCTATAAACCTATTTTCAATTTACCGATGTTGCAATATGTTAAATTTTCATTTATCACGTTCATGCCATTCATTTCTCTGCCAATGACAACCAATAAATCATACAGTAATATTAAATATCTGATTAATGGTCATCGTTGTAGACTCGACTAATTAATTGCCATACTTTCATATACATCCAAACTTTGTCGTTTGACTTGTGAACAAGTAAATAAACCGAAGAAAAACATCGTTACAAATGCATTGAATGCCATATCGACTCTGACGCATATTTTCTAATTGCTGAATGCTATATAATATTTGGCGAAATAGAAATTCTTCTGACGAAGTTATCACCTCAATTAGAAGTATTACGCATCCATAACTCCCTGAATTGAAGTTATTTAGATGTTTATCGATGGGAACGAATAATTTCAGAGCATTTAACTTGTTGTAGGGCAATTAAATTTCAGCTTCATGAAATAATTTTTGAAGATTTCACAATAACTGAAAATCATGAATTAATTAATCGATTCAAGTCTTTATTTTGAAAAGAACGACAATAGGTCTTTCGAATTTCTATTGCGATAGATTCTTCTCAGCACACTATTGGTTATTCTATTGATTCATACAAGTATATTAATCATCTTTTTGGTTTTGTAAAATGTTGTTTATGTCTGTATATTTTTATAGACAAACTCGAAAGATTTTTAGAAAGAAGACGAAAACGATGGAAGTTATATTGATGAAATCGATCGAAATGTTACTATTTACAACACACAAGATGTTCTTGCATTCTCTATATATTCTAAAAGTCATTGGACTTTCTGATCCTCTTATTGATAAACTTTTTATTCGTACAATTGGTCCAGATTTAAGTATATTATAAATTACCTATTTAAATATTACGCTTGAGAAGATTTTTATTGTCACGTTAATCAACTTAATAGAATATTTACCTAATCTTGATTCATTAGTAATTTCATCTTTATCAATGGTAGACCCAATATATTTAACAATTAAAGAAAAAACAACTTTTCGTTTAGTAACAACTAACAACAAAATTAGTGAAGTCAAAATTCATTGAATCAATGACTTGTCAAAAGTTCAGTTTCTTCTTGATCTCTGTTCTCGTATGATATATCTTCAGGTAGATCGTACAGATGGTGTTTTTCCAGAAACATCTGACATTTATCTTCATTGTGTTAAAATTTATCAAGCAAACATGGCTATTGCTGGCAAATTTGAAAAAAATAATTGACATTCACCAATAGCGTTTGAATTATACAATCGAACAAATAAATATTAAAATTCATTTTTGATCAAACTCATGATACTGTTGTTGTTTTATAATTTTTTCAATAGACTAGATATTTTGCACATATTGATCGAATTTTTTATTCGAACTTATGTAGTAAACAAAAAGTTATCAATAGGTTTGAGATTTTCCGCGTAAAATTTCTCCCGCTACAATGTACTATATCAGATCATGATTGTATATTGTAGAGAATCGAATATTAAATCTTTGAAAGAATTTTGCCATAAAATCTACAGGAGGGTGTGAGTGTGGGTCAAACAAGGACTTAAACTCATATTCACATCCTTCCACATCACACTCTCCATGTCTACTTCACTCTATTTTTCTATGCGCTCTTCTACATCTTAGACCATCTGATTTCTTCTGTGCATGCAGTTTGAATTTTCAATTTGAAATTCATTTTTCAGAACTAATGTGCATGTAGAAATGAAATGAAATGTCTGTTAGATAAAATAAATGGAATGAACTGAAATATCTAAAAATGAGATACCATGGAAGATTGATGAAGATGAATACGGAGCAAATGTAAAAAAAAGAATAATTGCCATTAGCTTTACTTTTTATATACACAATAATTGAAAAGTATTATAGTTATACATTAAGAAAGTATCAAAATCTTCCTCGGATCAATTATAAAAAAAATGCCAATGCATATTGTAAAAAATGTATTTAGTATTACCATGTTTATCTAATAATTGTATAATAGATTTATTAATATAATTACATAATAAAGTATAAGCATTTCTTGCATTACCATTAACAAATAATTCTAATGGCGGCTGATTAAATAATAACTGAGATTTTATAAGAATAAATAATTGCTGTACACGTGTTATACTAACATTAATCCTTTGTCGATTATAAATAAAATCTAATTCATTTTCAAGTGTTTTACCTTGTCTATATAACATACAAAGTATAACACATTGAGCTTCTTTGCCTTGCATTCTTTCGACTGCATCACATGTTATTTGAACATTTGAAAATAGATTATTCTTAAGTTTTTGTTGAATAGCAGAACGTTGTATTCGATGCGGCATTATAATAAATATTGATGAAAGTGATATACGTAAAACAAGTTCATTAATAAGAGAATGAACTAGGTGTGATTCAAGATCAAGATCTTCACTGCGAGTTGAAAATGATGATGAATCAACAAGAAGTGAACCAAGAAGATATGTATTTGAATCCCTAATAGCACTAATAGACAATGCAGGTCTTGAACGACCATGACGATAATTTTCACCGTATAAAAGACGAGTAAAATCCGATAATTGATCATTCATACCTAAGAGAAACAATAATTAATAATGACAAGCAAAAAAAAACCTGAGATAATTAAATAAACTTACGATGATTTTCTTTAAAAATAGATAAATATGGACAATGTGAGATTTGTTCGAATAGTTTTCAGTATGTAATGATATTGGAAAATTATTTTCATCATGCAATAAACAATGAAAAACCGATGAAAATAAATCAGGTACAGGATGAGGTAAAGGTGGATAAGTACAACGTTTAACAGATGGTAATTGTAATGAATCACCTGCAACAATCATTCGTGATTCTTGATGATCAGCTAAACGATTAATAGCTAATACAGCATGACTAGTTAATAATTGTGTTGCTTCATCAATAAATATAACATCAAAAACAATTGAACGATCAAGTTTTTGTAATGTCCATACTGTTGAACCAACAACTAGATGACGTTTACCATATGAAGATGAAATATTACGATAATTATTTGATTCTATTTTTAATACAGCTAATTCTTAAGCTAATTGATACCATTGAGGAAATTGTGGTGATGAAGAAAATAGATTTTTCAAATAATTAATTGATAATAGAAGATTATCAATTGCTGTAGGAGTACAAGCTGTGATTAATACACATAATGATGAACATGAAAACATTAACATTTGGAAAACAGTAACACCTGACCAATAGGTTTTGCCGGTACCGATAAAAAATGATATAAAAATGGTAGTGTTAGAGAACATCACAAAATAAAATTTCTTTTTCCAAGAAGAGCTTTACTCGAGTACAAAAGCATTAAAAACGTGTTCATAATCAAGTCACTGCTGCAGAGAGTAAGGTACAGTTTAGTTCATATTACATTAGTAACGATTGTTTGATGTGCTATAGTTCAAGACAATAGCTCGCTAGAGTCAATTCGAAGAAATGTCACCAGTTGCCACCTAACTATGCTGTGCAGGATTTATTATCTAATAACAATC